CATTCAAAGGAAATATAGGTTTCAACATCCTCGTCTATGAATATTGATCTTTTTTAGACAGCAAAGGTAAGTTTAAAACAGAAATACTTCTTACGAATCCAAATTACATTTTAAACTTAGAATTGTGATCTACGATCTTATGGGTATGTCACAAATTTGATCAGATACATTCACTCAGCAGTCAGCAGGCCGTTAAACATGTAATTAACTTTACAAGCGTAACTAACTTCGATTTTAGTACGTTCAAGTTCAAGTTATGTAGTCTCGAGAGTCAAACGATTATCATAGTTTATTTGGCCTGCTTTTAGAATTGGGAAAACAAAGGCAAGGTTTATGTTTTATGAACATTACGATTTGATAGCAAACTTTATTTTTGAGTGTAAAATCAAATAAAGCTTATTGCGTCGGGACCTGTACGTTCGCCCAATTAAAGGCAAATGTGCCGTCAATTAAAGAAACATGCACAGTGGTACACCGTTTTTGGAAAACATTACACTGATAATAAAAATTAATCAATTGTTATGAAATTTGCACCATCATTAAAAAGAATCTCGAATTTCATGATGACAAAATATCGGATAAATATGACAAGAAATAAAAATTTGTTACATTTTTTCCCAAAAAGTTGTAAAATAAAAATAAACTAAAAAAATAATATTTTCACGACAAAAAATAAATAGTTCAACTGTATTAATTATACATGACGTTTTCAAAGAGTAGAGAGCTAGATTCAAAGCACCGTTCCTGCAAGTTTCAAATGAAAATATTAAAAAACGCGCACGTATGAGAACCGCAACTTTCTATGTCTGCACTGACAAAAACTTGAAATCCCCGCTGTAAAGATATAGTCCCACGCGGATGTGCACGTCATAAGACTGATGGGTTAAGGCAATGTGTCCTCCTACTGAGAGGAATGAGGATTGTTTTGAAAAATCTGTAGGATGAACGTTAAACATATTTATTACAACTAATTTCCGAAAATTCGTCAATTAATTTGGCTAGTATTAGATAAAAAGGGGATCCATAGAATACTATAATTCTAAACGTCCACGTACGAATTCTCTTAAAAACGTATTGCTTCTCAACGGTTACAGTAGTTGCTACCAGCGGCATATTGTACGGTGAATCCGATGTCTACTTTTTGTATTTGTCACCCGCTCTGTCTAAGCGTAAATTTACCAGTTCCTCTATCAGGAACGAGTGTTGCGTCATCAGCGTCACTGCTAAAATGATATACGATGGAAAAATTCTAAAGAAGATCAACGCATCTCTGCCGTTACACTGTTAGATATGAAATAAGAGGAGGGAAAACCAATGAGTTCTAAGATGTCCTAAACTTCAATTGAAAATATAGAGATGGCTCTCATCGCTGATTGGTCGAATGACATAGGAGCTGATGAAGACAAAATGGCGTATTCAAAATTTTGTAAAAATGCTTCGAATATTATTACCAAAATAGCTCCGGACTGAACTATTTTTAGAGTCTATGGAAGAAACATGAAGCCTCCTAGTGAAATACCATGGACTACTATAGTAACACAGGGCCTATTTATATTAGAAAAACGCTTCGCCCTGGCTCAGGAAAAAGTCTACCAGTGAACAACTGGTCATTAGGGGCTATTAGCAAACTACTTAAAAGGGTAACTAGGGAGCCACTTACTGGCCTAGTAATGTTCCGTTGGGGACTACTAGGTAACTACTTAACGAAGAGGTATAAGTGAACTAATAAGGCTAATTAGAGAACCACTAAAGCACCAGTAGAACATATTTAGAAACCCAAATGAGGAGCATTCAAGAACTGTAAAAATCTATTGAAAAAATGATTGGACCATCTAGGAAACAACCAGCGAACCTAATATGGCTGTCCTTTATTTTTGCCTATCAAAGAGCGCATGTACCCGGAGCACTAGTTCTTCATAAATAATTTGTTAAGTTATTAAAATGGTTCCGTTTAATATGCTAAAACATTTTGCGGCAACCGCGCTAGCTTAAGTCATCAAGACTTGCGTTCAATATACCTTTATACTGGGCTATATACCTCTCATCACGTTTCAAAGCTATTTGTCTCTGCTGGTTATTATATGCAATTATTTTATATCCCTAGGTACTATATCTGACGCATATAAAATAGAATTCTAATATGATTAGTCGTATGTACCAGATAACTGCAACATGCGTGACAAAACTATTTCGTATATATCATACTGATTCTTTAGACGTATTATCTTAGACTAATTGATTTCATTTTCATATCTGATCACATGTGCCATCAGTATTTAAAATTATGTAATCACATCGCCAAAAGGTTTAAGGCAAAGCGTATCAAAACGCTTATGGAAAATGAAGGTTGAAGACTACAAAAATGACCCCGAACATACGTATCACGTTAATTACGTCCTCTCATTTAGAATAAATTAATTCACAGCCCCAAATCACACTAAAATTCCATCCATTGTTTGAAGGAAACCGCTATTGGCCACTCCTAGTGATTTTCAAACTATTTTTTCTATTATAAATTTAAATGAAATTTTGGCTATTTTATTTTATCTCATGTTGTATGATATTGATTTTGTTTTTATACATAACAGGATTCCCATTGACACAAGCATTTATAAATAATGTATGGGTTAGATACGCTAAGATGAATCTGACATAAGCGCAGTTATGATACCTTTTTTGTTTGGAAGTAAGTATCTATGGCAACCGCAACACATTGTGTATCTATATGATTTTGACATTCACTCCATAGCAATTTGATAATCAACTGCTCAGACAGTAATAAAAGAAGGGGCGGAGTAACACCAGCGTTTCCACGAATAGCCGCAGACGGCCAATTTACACCAACGATGAATACGAACAGTTTGACATCAATAATTTGGGTAATAACGTTTGCCCAAGCCTTGTTGGGCTTTTCAATTGCAATGAACTTTTATAAATTTAAAAACACGAGGCTGCTTAATGTAACGCGCGTGATACCAATGTTGTCAGTAGACGAATGCGCCATTTACTGCGAATCAACGAAAGACTGTACTATGTTTAATTTTCGAAAGAGTAATGGCGACGATACATGTCAATTGTTGGCGAAAAGTGGCACCCTTAAAAACGACCAATACGATTATGACCTTTGGCGACCTAATGAGCCAGGTATGTTCTATTATTCTGAAATAATTCAATGAGTTGTTATCGAATGATGCTGAAGCTTAACACACACACAATTTACATACTACTGTAGTACTTTAAAATATTTGAACGATACAGTTGACCGTAGAATTAAAAAAATTATAGCTCAACCATTCATATTTTCATACATATGATTTCATTCATGTATCGAAATTTACTTTTTTGCTGATTTTGATTTTATAGCACCGTTACAATGTCAACTCCAAAATTCTCCGATTCAAAAGCTAGGCCTAACTAACAGCTTCATAAAAACATATAAAATAGGAATCTCAAAATTTGGTTTGATGAACCTCGAGACGAACATTATACTGTTGTTGGTTAACTTGTGTTACAGTTGGATTGATCTATGTGGGATGTTACAGGCAATTCTATTACGAATATTCGAATCGGAATACACCTTATGATAACCTCACACTGCAGCTATGTGTTGATGATTGCAGACAAAAAGGTAATACAACAATACTACTTGCAATTGATTAATGTGTCTAATTAATATACGGGACGGAGTTCACCTTTTGACAACCTCACACTGAAGGGATTCATTGATGATTGCAGACAAAAAATGTAATACCACAATACTACTTGCAGTTGGTTAATGTGTCTAATTAATACGCAGGTTGGGATACACCTCATGATAACCTAACACTGCAGGGATGTGTTAATAATTGCAGACAAAAAGGTAATTCCACAATACTACTTGCAATTGATCAATGTGTCTCATTAATATGCGGGTTGGAAACCACCTCAAGTTAACCTCACACTGCAGGTATGTGTTGATGATTGCAGACAAAAAGGTAATACCACATTACTACTTGCAATTGATTGATATGTCTAAATAGTATGCGGATTGGAATACACCTTATGATAACCTCACACTGCAGCGATGTGTTGATGATTGCAGACAAAAAGGTAATACCATAATACTATTTGCAATTGATTAATGTGTCTAATTAATATGCAAGTTGGAATACACCTTATGACAACATCACACTGCAGGGATGTGTTGATGATTGCAGACAAAAAGGTAATACCATAATACTACTTGCAATTGATTAATGTGTCAAATTAATATATAAGTTGGAATACACCTTATGATAACCTCACATTGCAGGGATGTTTTGATGATTGCAGACAAAAAGGTTTCAATGTTTCATTTTTGCCAGACAACATTTGACTTTTGAAAGATTTTCATGAAATGTCAGAAAAGTAGGCAAGATCTACATCCTGAATTCACACATTGATTCGTTTTGATCATTTTCAGGAAAAAAGTATGCGGGGGCGTTCGAAGGTTTCCGATGTCTATGTGGAGATTTGTTACAGTATAGCAATTCTAGTATCTGCTCGATACCATGTAAAGGGAACGCAGCAGAAATATGCGGCGGAGAAGATTATAACCACTTGTCTACATATCTTGTATAATATTTAGTACGTACACTGTAGAAAACATTCTATTTTGAAATACATGGCTTATGTTTAATGACTACATCTGTATGATCAAACTAGAACTATTTTTAGGACCAATGATTATCAAAAACTCAGAGAGATGCATAAGAAACACCTGTGAGAGTTGGACTACGTGTATGATTCCAAATAAAGATACACGTTCTAATAAGTATCAATATTTCCTGTTTAATTATTCACTCTACAATACCTTGCATTTGGTGTTCATGAGCAGCCCATCAGCAATGATTATGTTATTTGTTTTTATGTGTCTGCTGCTTATGAATGGTTTATTGGATGACTGCTAGATGTTAATAAGGTACTTTCAAAAAGATACTAAACAATACAATTAGACAAACAGAATGTCTTATGGATTTCTTGGGGTTAGGTATAGTAGAGTGTATTATGATAAACAAATCCAAAGTACATGTAACACAACTGATGTATACGTCATAAAATACGATAAAATGGCGTCGTAGTTTCAGTTGCCATTGACGACATTAACTGCGATATGGCCAGCTTCTCGACGGTTGCAGTTGCTATCAGCGGCATATTGTACAGTGAATCCGATGTCTGCCTTTTGTATTTGCCACCCGCTCTGTCTAAGAGTAAATTTACCAGTTCCTCTATCAGCAACGGGTGTTACGTCATCGGCGTGCCACACCTTAAAACAATATACGATGGAAAGGTCATTAAAGGGAGATTGATTCATCTGAGCCAAACGGTTGGACTTTTGGACCACGTGCATGATCCCAAATAAAGATACACGTAGGGACACGGAAGGGACTTCTTTGTTGGTAAGTTAATCGGGGAATATGTGGTACGACTCAGCATTCAAAAAATTCATGAGAAATATTGAATTCTTATCCCTACAATAGTCAGGGAATGTCTTCACAATCTCTGGCTAAAATACTCTGAAGATCCAGAAACCTGAGTCATGTTTTAAGTCCAAAATAGCGGTGTATTGAGAATCATACAATATTTTTCATTATCAGAAAAAGTTACAATTTTCAAAGATGCTTGCGTGAATCCTACAACAGTATGTTTTTTACTATATTCTTTATAGACTATGTATTTGTTTAAAAAAAATTGTTCAAAAAATTCATGAGAAATATTGAATTCTTATCCCTACAATAGACAGGGAATGTCTTCACAATCTCTAGCTAAAATACTCCGAAGATCCAGAAACCATGTTTTAAGTCCAAAATAGCGGTGTATTGAGAATCATACAATATTTTTCATCATCAGAAAAAAGTTACAATTTCCAAAGATGCTTGCGTGAATCCTACAATAGTATGTTTTTTACTATATTCTTTATAGACTATGTATTTGCTAAAAAAAAATTTGTTCAAAAAATTCATGAGAAATATTGAATTCTTATCCCTACAATAGACAGGGAATGTCTTCACAATCTCTAGCTAAAATACTCCGAAGATCCAGAAACCATGTTTTAAGTCCAAAATAGCAATATATTTAGAATCATACAATATTTTTCATTATCAGAAAAAGTTACAATTTTCAAAGATGCTTGCGTGAAACCTACAATAGTATGTTTTTTACTATATTCTTTATAGACTATGTATTTGTTAATGTACTTTTGTTACTTGTAAATATGTTGAATAAATTATTTTATATTTTAAGTCCAAATCTGTCTTGAGTGTGCTTCTGCTATGGCAACATGCCTCTTTAAGAGTAACAATAATGACAGAATATACAACAGCAAATCTTCGCGATTGTGCTCTCAAATACACAAAGCTTTAACTCCATTCCCTTCATTACTATATCAAATACAATAGTACCAAGTACGTTAGATGTTTTGACTGCCTCTTAGTATTTTAAAAATGTATAATGACGCTACTTACGTTGAATGAAGAAGGCACGCAGGGGAACTGAAGCGTGATGAACAGTGATCCGGCGTTCCTGTTGGGAGGAAGTTTAATCTCACCATTTGCGCCAGTGTTCCATTGTGACGTAAACGAAACCTTTAGATCTGAAATACATGCCTTACTCAAATAGTGATGTATAAACCAAGAATACATCCCTGAGGAACGAACACGGGAAAAGGTTGAAAATTGATATTTTCATAAGAACAGATCTAGACCAACTATCAACTCTGGTTATTGATATATTATTGCACTAAATGCAGGACAGTTCTTTATATTGTTTAATTAACATGACGATTGTACTAAGCGCCCAGCTCTTCCCAATATTATATTCACATATAGCTAGGCATGACTTATCACCTATCAGATATAAAACCGTACAATTGTTGTATGATTATAATCTTTGAATTTTGGATCCGTTTCATACGAGGTCTCATACTGTACAAGACCTGTTTTTGATTTGACAATGGGCTTAATTTCTAAAACTATTAAATGTCCGTAAATATACCTTCCCAGCTTCCGCTCTGGCATGGAGCAGCTGCACATGCGCGTCTCTCATTGTTGTTGCCCCGACAATATGCGCCGCCATTTTGTGGGAAGGGACTGTCGCAGTGACGGATTCTGGTCTGGATTCCATTTCCTAAACGAAACAATACATACCATTTTTGACTGAATTAGAAACTGAATTGGAAATGTATTAGGACTGTTTAACCAAGTATAAAAACACTAATTACCTTTGATTGCCAAAATGTAGCGGTTGATTAAACAAATTGTACTCTTTTAATATAAATGGTACATTCTGATAGATATTTGAAGAATTGGAGTATTTGCTGTGTTAAACACTGATCGATGAAGATCGTTAAGCAGACCGTTACATTATTTTAAAATGTGTCCTTTTTGAAAAAACCAATGTCTTACCACATGATACTGAACAGGTGCTCCATGTTGACCAACTACTCCAGCCTCCGTTTACAGAGGCGCCACCCGTTGGTCCAACGCTGGGACGCTGAGTCTGTCGTGTTGCTTCAGTTGGTGGTTGAGAGGGGCCGGGAGAAGGTCGAACAACTTGCCCAGCGACATTTACTAGAATAAGGTTAGATCAGAGACATATGAAACATGTTTTATATGTCTCTGGTTGCCCAGCGACGTTTACTAGAATAAGTTTAGATCAGAGACATATAAAACATGTTTTATATGTCTCTGGTTGCCCAGCGACGTTTACTAGAATAAGGTTAGATCAGAGACATATAAAACATGTTGATATGTCCCTGGTTAGATGCATGTGTAATCAATAACGCACTCAATTTTGTATCCCTAAAACCAATCGAAATTTTCCCAAATTTTATGAGTCTTTTAAAATCGCCTTGAACTCGTGATCCAAAGGATTAATTATAATTGGTAATGATTGTACACATACCTGGCGATGCAGTCGTTTGAGCACGTTGTTTCAAAATGGCGTCACGTTCTGTCTTCGATGCGACGATATCGGCTTCCCAACAACCGGTATAGAGATCAGTGGGTCCGTTAAAATACCATGCCCAGACGAATGTATAGCGTCCTAGAAAAGCAAGATTGAATATCGAATCAACACAGAAATATCCAATGCAACTTATGATTACGATTATGGTGGTTGACGGCAGAGCCATCTTTCAATAGATGACACATTATACCTCTTATCTTCAGGTTATAACTTGTGCAATTATGCCTCATCAGTTCCCGTTGCAATTGATTTGAATAGAGTCGATTGGGCTGAAGAGTTGATTAAGTAGTGCATTGATTGTGAATATATAAGCACTAGTGCCAAAAGGGAAAGGACCAAAAGTTGTAATGGAACTTAACAAGAAAAAGCAAACTCTAAGTGCATACCAGTCAAGAAAAACAAACTCCATATAGCCCAAAACCATGATCTAACGTGAACAATCTCTAATACCCCCTTTCCCCACACCATTCAAAAACCAATATCACAACCCAAGACCAGAAGACCAAGGGACATTTCATTCATACTGAAGTCATTACAATACATGTTGAAGAAAAAATTAGAAATTGATAGCCAATTGAAAGCCAATACTCATAACCTCAAAAATTGTTGTAGATACAAGTACTCATACAAGATAGAGCATTCAGTCTTAAATGACATATTTTTCTAGATCGAACGATTTAAAAGAAAATTGCACGGGATTGTGATGATAAACTGAATGTTCTGGTAACCGATCAAGCAGAATTAAACGCTCCTTTCGAAAAGGATTTTCATATTTCTAGATATAGAATCGTGATGAGTATCATTAAGCAGATCCAGTAATAATAATATCGTGAGTAATAATGATCCAAGTAAATAAGTAAAGCAAAAGTCTTCTCCAACTAGACTTTTATATTGGAGCACTTACCAGTCTCGAAATTTGCGGGCAAGTTGAATGCAAAGGTTGCGAGGGCTTTATCGGGATTCTCGCAGAATTTTGGAGCATTTTGGAAACCAGGCTTAGGGTAGGTCATGGTAACCTGATCGGAGACATCATAACCATAAGGTGCAGTACCGAGGTCGACAACCATGTTTTGTTGGAAAACGTTGAAGGGGACATCGGTTTTGCTGTCTTTGGGCCCCGCATAAACAAAGTTACCGTGATCCGGAATGTATTTGTTGGTGCATCTGACGTCAGCAACGTGATTCTAAAAACAAAACAACGACTTTTGATTGTGACACAAAAAGTGTTATAAATAGTCTTCAACAGTTTAGATGGATGCCCAACTTGATTGGTGCAAAATAGCATCACGTGATCCAGTAAACCTTGGGGAACTATTCTAAAATTGGATGTTTCGAGAATACAATCGCGTGATTCAGAGTCCGATGTCATTTTGAATGTACATCCTCATAGTCACAAGCTCAAGTATTACTGTTATATTGCTTATTGTATCTTGTTAGGGGTCAATCAAAATGCCTTGGTAAAAAGTCGCTATGAATGTCATATTGGCAGTCATCATTCATAAAATTCAAAATGGCTGTCTGATTGACCAGTGGCAAATGTATTCAATGAGATGAGGATTAAATGATCTGATACGTACTGGTTTAATGTCATGATTTGTCCACTAATAATGATTCCTTCATAAAGGCACTGGGCCCCGAGACACATTTTACTCGAGTGTACATGTACCTACTTTTGTTGGGTGAGTGACGACAATTCTCTGCCCGGGATAATACACTGCCATTGGATGGGCACTATCATAGCTGGAGTCATCTCTCGCTGTCCTACACGGGGCTGACATGGGAGGATTATTTATATTGTATCCAGTGTCCAGGCCAAATAGACCATCACGATGAGCGAATCTAAAATCACACAGAAAACTCAAAATGTAATGAGAAAGCGAAGTGAAGGCAAAAGCAAGAGCGCAACTGGAACAAGGACACCAACAACCCATGCTAATTACCCAAACCCACAAAATATAAGCGATTTTAAAGAAAAAAGGCCATGCTAATTTAGTCCTTATCCATGGCATGGATCAATATGACCAATTACTTTAAAACTATGCCCTTGCTTCGAGAACAGTCCAAGGGATGGTTCCAGGATTTTTAAGTCCTTCTCTCAGGCTACTAAGTCTAACATCACTGTTTTTTATCTTAATCAAATACAAGTAACTAGATAAGATCAGTCGTTTGCTAATATAGTAATTAACGGAGTTATGCTCTACAAAGCTTATTACCAAAGTACTCCTTGTTCTTTTTTAAACAAAGATTATTGTCAACTAAAAAACGAATTACCTGTTTGCGTGACGAGGCCATGCTCTACATAGCTTATTATCCCAGTACTCTCCGTTTTCCTCCAGGTAATCAGTGCATGTCAACCAGGAATGGGACACAACAACCCCCACAAGACAAGCGGCAATCACACACTTCAACATCTTGCCTCTAGTCTGCCCTAACTGAAATGGCTCGATGGTCGAACAATCATTTAAATTCGGGAACACCCATGCATATAATGACACAACTGATTTTGTTACAAGAATTTTGACATGATTTTTTGGAAGCAATCTGATTAGGATATTTTTGTTCCAGATTTTTGATATGATAGTTTAATAGTTATTATATATTATTTGAATTGTATAGTCATTAGGAATATTACCAATTGATATTTTTTCTAGAGGGCATTTTATAATTCTATTTATTATGAAACAGATAATGCAAATAGCATTATCAATGAAACATCTTATCTTAAGATAAATCGATAGAGAGGTCTAATATCTGATGTCAATTTGATAGCATTTTATAAACGTTTCGGGTTTCATTCTCCATATTTCACTCTTACCAAAAGGTACCATAAATCTGTTTTAAAACTTGTATTGATAACAATTGATATCAATAGATATTGATAGGTGCAAACAAACGTTCATTTTCATATTAATAATATTACACGTTGTATGACCTCCTAATCCATTGTGGTGTCGCCTCGAATAGCTATCCCAGATACTATGCCGCGGCACTGGTAACCTTGTTGGCTATCACAGCGCATCCACGTATGCCTGAACGAAATACTACGGGAGGTTCGCTTTGAATTATTATTTCATTCCAAACATTTTTTAAACTGATATGTTTGCAGTCTTACTGGTATTTCAAGGAGTGCAACACCTGAAATACCAGTATTTCAGACCAGCTCTAAAGTTGGAGTTTGATGGATTTCAGTTTTAGTGTAAGCCCCAAGTGCTACAAATAAATAAATATATGTTATATTATATATTCTTATGTTATTCATGTATTATTGATTGAAGGGAGCATAAGTTATGGAAAGACCTGGAATTATTTCTGAGAACACTTTAGAGGTTACCATTAAAAATAGTCCACTTTGATCAAATTTGATTTCAAAATAGCAGGCATATGATGGCACCCTGCTTGAAATCAAAAATTGCAAGAGAGAAGAACTTACTACACATTATAGTACTTTGAGAATTCAAATAATTTCAAAGATTTATCACTGTATTTATTTGAGTTTATCAGTTATCGTAAATTTGCCCACAGTCACATTCATCAGTTCACTCACAAACTAAGAACCATTTTATGTAGCATATTAATTATTAAGAGAGCAATTATGATATATTACTATTAATGGTGAACATACTGTGGAAGAGATTTATCGCAGAATATATATCCTGTTTTGTTTCTAAATTTCCAGCTTTGGAGACATATTACGACAACCCATGTAATAAGCTGCAAAATCCATCAAAACAAAACAGCAGTCACACAGGTCTATTTTATACGAGGTAGTTGTAGTGGACATCTTTTAATCAAATACTAGTAGACTAAAGTGTATTTAACCCTTTTAACTATCAATTCTGAAATTAAATCGTTTTCTTTTTATAATAGTTTAAACAAGAATGACTATGTTCTACTACTTATTTCTAGATATGTTTAAGAAAGTCCGTCGGTATTCAAATGATATGTCATCAGATTTTTCCATGGTTTATCTACCATCTGGTTATTTTTAAATAACATTACGCGGTCCTGTATGGGAAACTTGTTTTGAAACTGGAGTAAAAAGCAGACAGAAGTACAAACGAACGTACGGACAGACGGACGGTGTGATAATAATGCTACTTATAAGAGAATATAATAGTTGATGCATGTAATTTTAGTAAGTCCGTCACAAAGACCGGTCAACTGTCTTGTCTTAGTAGGCATAACATAATGACATGTCATCTTAATGCTGTCACGTAACAGTAGTAAAATACAAAACGGATGACAGTGGTATTGTAACTAATTGTTTCTGTTTCGATAATTTACCTTTGCATGGACACCTTACCCTTGTGATTGATTCAATTATAAATTACTCTTTCCAAGGCTGTTACTTCTACATGCGAATTAAACAATTTCAATGGTATATGACCTTACACAAAATTATGTTTATGCTACGTATTATATAACGAGAATCACGAAATTCTGATTTTACTTGGTGATTAAATTCTAGGGTATTACAAAGTATGGGCAAGTTAGATGACATTTCACACTGTCTTATCACTCAACTGTCAGAGAAATTAACCATTACAGAATATGATAGTAAAAATTGTAATGATATAATGGGAGAAGACGAGTAAAAATACATGGGTTTATCAGAGAATTGTCTTTCTTTATATTCTGAAATTTATACATAAGCTTCAAGATGAATTTACTATACATATATAAAGAAACAGGTCTGCAAGTCAAAATTTTATGCAAAGGAATCGCTTGCAAACCCCAAAATACCTTAAAAATATATGCATTTCAAATAAAATTCATCCCTACATATTGTAGCATGTAAAATTACACTTGTATTAAAATAATTGTTTCTCACATCATCTTTCACTGACGTGTCGCAAAAAGGTCGCGCACGCATTGTTACACATTTTCGCTTTTTTACACCACAGAATGTGACGTTTTTTGAGAAAAATGTACACATATGGAAATCCTTTCGTCCTCCACATTTGCCTCTATATCTCAAAATATTTAAGGCGAATAACTCTGATATAGTATATGTATTAACAATGGGATAGGAGCTTCATAAAACACGAATCAATTGATATTTTAGGTGAAATAAATATACATGTTGCTGTGCTTGAAAATAGGCGAATGGCGTAAATTAGCCCTATTTTAATGAATTTTGAAAACCTTTCGTCCTCCACTTTTCCACATACAACAGAAAACACATGCTTTTGCGAACAAAATCAACTATTTATTAATAAACTAGAGTTTAAGAGCAAAATAATCATGTATGATCTATTAAAAATTGATCTCGTATTTTTTGTTTAATGTACACCTGAAAAGTTAAAAGGTAACAAAAAATGAGCAAAAAAGGTCGCTGTCAACAGATTCTATTTTTCAAACTCTATGATGTCACAATATGGGACGCTTACTAAAATTCATCCTTTGAAATAAAACTTCCATCTACCTTTATCAAGACGAATAATAAGTATAATAGTCATATATTGTTTGAGTTATGAGCGTTTAAAGACGAAAAATAATTCAAAATGTAACGTGTCAACAGGGGATATTTGCCAGATGTTTTGGTAAAAAACTATTTTTTAAAAAAGAACGCGCAAGAATCGTGAACGGAATGTAGTTGATCTAAAAACTTCATGGGAACAGCTTTAAAATGATATATAACTTTAATTAGAATATTATCTTATAATCCGGGGAATCAAAGTTACATTCACGCGATACCCTTAAAAACAAATGCGCCACCTTTTTGCGACACGTCACTATTATCAACTTAACCATCGGCAATGCAGCTGATCCCAATGACCCATGTTGTGTCAAGAAAGGATAAAAGGTAGTAAATCACTCCAAAATGTCCTTGCGTCCTCGTGTTTTAGGCGAATTAGTCATTAACAAAAAGGAAAGCAGAATGAGTGAGTATAAACATCGCCAATATTATTACATTTGATAGTTTGCAAAAATATTTGTTTATTTCATTCAGTTTACATGTGTTCATAGTAAGAATATTCAATATTACAAAAATCTACAAATTAGTATTTCAGCATTACAAAAAGATTATTACATCTATATTAAATGGGCAAACGATGTCGTTTCTGATCCATTAAATTAACTACTTATTCCAATTTAAGGACTGAAATTCTCTACAGAATTTTGTATGTAACACAATAATACACAGCGGTGGTGTATTACACATCTGTCTGTAAAATTATCAAGTTGATTTTGAAAATATTAATTTTTTTTTTCTCGTGAATACACGTTTAAAAAGCGTACATAATCTCAAAATAACATTCTAAATGATTAAGAGAAAAAACATTTACAGCATGCATATTAACGGTTTTTAAATTTTGTTTTCACAATATTTGCCTTTTAAATTTTGATAATTATAATGGATATATTTTTGAAACATCATCTAGTGGAGTCGAAACACACTTACTGATGCGATTCATAAAGTAAGCATTAATGTAAAGACGGAAAGACCAAACAGTAGTACAAAACACAAGAATAACTTAAAGTACAACTAGAAATAAAAAAAACATACCCCAATATTCTAAATTATGGTCTTATTCACGAAGAAGAAATATCTAACAAAAAAAGATAACGTTTAATTCATGATGAAGTCAAAACAGTTGAGTTGAATAGCAAATTATGAGAATTAAATTAAATTTCCACGCACAGGAAGAAATTTCCCCAAATCATCCATTTTCTTAATTCTGAATCAGTTTTTCTTTTTTCTTAATTCCTCTTAGTTATTTGGTCTTTGATATTTCCAATATTCCATCCGTGTCAAAAAACAATTTTCAGAAAATTCAATTTCAGGAACAATTGTAAAAGTGATTCCTGTATCCCTTGCGAAAATTCATGCATTTTCAAAAAGAGAGGAGAACGTTTTCTGGTCCACCCTCTATTTCTCTCCCTCTCTCTATGTTATTTGTTCTTTCAAATTGATAATTCCAATATTCGATCCGTGTCTGAAAACAATTTTCAGAAAATTCAATTTCAGGAACAATTGTAAAAGTAATTCCTGTATCCCTTGCAAAAATTCATGCATTTTCAAAAAGAGAGGAGAACGTTTTTTGGTCCACCCTCTATTTCTCTCCCTCTCTCTATGTTATTTGTTCTTTCAAATTGATAATTCCAATATTCGATCCGTGTCTGAAAACAATTTTCAGAAAATTCAATTTCAGGAACAATTGTCAAAGCGATTCCTGTATCCCTTGCGAAAATCCATGCATTTTCAAAAAGGGAGGAGAATGTTTTTTGGCCAACTCTCTATTCCTCTCCCTCTCTCCATGTATAATATCACATTTTACTGTTTGCTGTTTAGGGTTGTTGGTCGTATTGGGATTTGTTGCCATCGCTAGCGGCTATAGGCTCGAGAGAAGTGGGGCCCCGGTTGTTCTTTCCGCCGAGCAGATAGGCAAGTTTAATTTAATTGCTTCATATCAAATTTAACACTATTTTAGCATGTAGTATTATTTATCATACAGTACATTTATAAAAAGTCAACATTTTTTGTAATTCAAAAATCAAAATAAATTACAAGTTGTATTTTTAGGAAGTAACAATTTAAAAGATAATACTGAAAATATATTTTTAGTGTTTGAATTATTGCTGAAGAACGTTATTATAAAAGTAATACTTTGTTTTATACGAGATACGGGTACAGTAAGGTAGACGTTATATATAACACCGCCATCTTTTCGATTGGGTAGGTTGTATGGAAACGGATATATGTAAAGACCTAGACATTTATTCAAAACACGACGAGCAAAAAATATAAGTACAAATCCTTCCCACACTTTTCTGGAACCATTTTCACGATCTAAACTACCGACCTTTGAAAATTTGTTCCGTACTAAAGTCATTACAATACACGTTGAAGATAAAGAAATACTAATCACCATCAAAAACCACACGGCCATAGGACAATTCATTCACAATTAAGTCAGAACAATACATGTTAAAAACAAATAATATTAAGTCGACAATTTGACAATAATATTTTAGCACTTTGTGGCTCTATTGACACACAGGGATATCTTCCCGGGGAGGACGCAGAGGGAGGCGACTGCTGCTCGTTCATCGTATGCAATGCAGCCAATCTAAACAAAACAGGTAACAATTTTTTTTAGTATTTGGTAGACAAGGGATGACTTTATGTATGTATGTATATCTTTATTGCCCTTTATGAAAAAGGAGATACAATCAGCAAAGAACTTGAACTGACTCATTAATGGCTAAGACAGAAATCCCAATTTCAGAAAATTGATTTTTTGAACGATTTTGAAGATTTCATCGAATGCATGCCTGTACTGAAAACGCAATATCTTGTGATGTATCGAGTAACGACAAACTTTTTTATTAATTGAGCACTATCTACATAAAAATCACGAAGAATATTTAATTAGTGAAAAAGTTATATATTAATAGACTACTGTAAATGCGAGTAGAAATAAGTATGTGGAATTGATTTTAGGAATGTTGTTTTAAAACGTGTTTATCAACTTTGAAAATTTAATTCTCTTTGAAAATGTCACTTCTCGGTCGGGAAGATTCCCCATCGACCCCATGTTATAAAATCACAAAAAGGGAAATATCTTCTCTTAGATTGGACAGATAACTGGACATATAACTATCAGATACATAAGGGTAATATGAAAATTGAACCATCAAAACTGATGAATGTTCAAGTTTAACTTTTTAATAACCCTGTCATGTTATCTACCCCGAGTTGGCCATTTGGTGGTGAAACAGTTAACTACATGTATGAATAAACACAAGGAGCACACGCGTCTCGAACTCGCAACCTCGTGGTTACGGCGCCCAATCGCCTAGCTCGAACGTGCCGGCGCTCAAGTACATACTCGCATCTAGGTATTATTGATTTCTTCCATTCTTTGTCAAAATGGAATACTCTACTTTAGGTTACCTAGGTAAATGTATGGGAGGGACCGTTTGGAATAATGAGCAGTTGACATGTGATGACCCTAAGCAAGTCGCCGGATGTGACCCAACTACTTGTACAGGTATAAGGAGATCCAATGGAGATAAATATCGGCCATTGAACAGTTCAATCCATTTATAGTTCGAACTTTTATATTTTCCGTTATTTGATATATGTGGGTTTTATGTATTTATTGTGCATTCATGCATAGGATTGGATGGGATAAAAATGTGTTGTTTTTATGTTTAGACTACAATGTGTTTTTATAATACTTATTTTTAACAGATGGTATACCATCATACCCATTTTCATCCCACCATATATACTTTTCTGACAAAATATTATTACGCCGTTTTTATAAGAATTCGCAATGTTTTCCGATTGCGTTGTAATGTCTCATTAAACTGACGCATGTTTTGATACTATCGCCCTCAGTCCTAACTCAGACCACACCCGAGTATTGTTAATAGTTTACTAAATAAAGTTAAATGGGACTGCCAACTTTTTGGACGGAATGTATAACACGATTTAAATGTTAAATCTAGTATTTAACGTTGTATTTTAGTTCCAATGAGAACCACGGCGTTATGCCCGGACGATCTAGAATCAGGTATTAAAAATTATTTAGTTTCTGTTTCTGTTCAAGTCAGTGATATAAGTTCTAGTTTTGCGTGCACTGACCACATTCGTGACTTCAACGCACGCATTTACACGCCCGGTGATCGTACAAAATGGTTGGAGGGGGGGGGGGAGTTATATTTCTCTACGTCTTTACGATGGAACAAATTCCCAAGAACTCGTGAATTTGAAAAAGCTAAACTCAGTACCCCAGTAAGAAACTGGATATTATATCTCTGGAGAATGAAAAATGGGAAAAACTTGGAGTTACAAGAATACATTTAAGTAGCATGTCTTATCATGTCTTCTATACACGTTACTCCCCCCTCCAGGCCTCCATCCACTACCCCCTCCATCCATATTGATTGATTTCAATTATTTTTTGTATAACGCATGAAAACTAACTTTAAAAAGTGAGCAATGTCATTAGTGTAGACCATTGTTGCCTGATTTATAGCAAGAACATTGACTTTTGCACGTTGATGATGATGCGCCTTTTTTAATAGATCTCATATCTTAGAAGCGTATCAGTTCAAAAAATACTAGAGGACCTAACATATTTTGCCATGAACTGCGCCTATTCATTTGACAATTCAGTTGTAAATTTTCTCTTGAATAAATAATTATCTTCCAAATTTGTTGAGTTTTCTTGCAGACTTCGCCTACTCCCCCCCTCCATCCATTTTGTACGATCACCGGGCGTTATTTATAGTATTTCTAATTCTTTATTTGTCGTGGCTTGTACGCCACTGCATTATAACTTTTCTATTACAGGGCAATGTTGTATTGGTGGACGTGAGCCAATTTACACCCAGCTATCAGATTCAACCTACACACTCGGAGACGGAGAACACTCGTGTCCAGGTGGCCAACTCTTTAACGTCGAAGACTGCTGTTGCGAAGCTGAATGTAAGTTACCAATCCCCGGGAATAGTAATTACACAAAACGAAACTATTATAATCGTATTGGGGAGAGGTTCGACAAGGTTCAAGTAAACCCAAGTCTAAAATAATTAATTTTTACAGATAGCATATTATGGTCGAACTAACCACATTGATTTTTAACGTATACATAAAAATATTGGTCGAGACTTGAGATATATGCAGTGTCATTCAAAATTGAAACTTCTGATTGGGTTCGAAGCCGAGATGCCCGGATATGACCGAGCAAAAGCCGGAATTCACGTGATTTTTCACCAAGAAGGGGCGGAGTTTAAGCGAGATTCATCGAGACTTCTCCGTGTCAATGGTGTCAATCCCTGCATTGCTTGTTGTTAACTCCACCTTTTTGTTGTATATAAAATATATCAATTTTATTCGATATATGAGGCTTGAGTCATTTAGTGCACAAATTGCACTAAATACACACATTGGGAAATAATAAAACTTAATATTTTCACAATAACACAGCGGGAATCATATGATGCAGAATAATCATAATACTGCGCCCAGCCACTTCATCTCGACAATTCATGAGATCAAAATAACTTCAAAGGTTTTAGAAATACATATTGATAGAATATTATTCAAACCGGCCTCATTCCAGTTTTATGTTGAATTGTTGTTGATTTATTTTAATTCCATAGTTTTATTAGCTATCCGAACATGACTGCATTCACACCTTCTATAGACTGTGAACAAAGTCAACATTTCACCCGGGGTATATTCGCAAACAATACCCCTGGTGATACGAGTAATGTATGACGTCATAACGGCGAGCCGTATTTTGGTGAGTTTTCATGTTGGAATCGTAATATAGACCTCAGAGCAGGGGTAATGTCGTCGAATACACCCCCTAGGGCTAGGCACAAAAGCTTTCGAACCCCTCATTCCCTTCGGGCGTTACGATATTACCCCTGCTCTTCGGTCTGTATTTCTTAATTAATAGAATATTATCCAAACCGGACTCATTCCAGTTTTTTGTTGTTATTGTTGTTGATTTATTTCAATTCCATAGTTTTATCAGCTATTAACTTGATGTCACAGGGCTTTGCAAATGATATTTTATTGCTATTACAATGCGGTCATTGTTGAGTTACTGAGCCTGTATTCGCGAATGCAACTACGCCTGTCGGCTACCGGATTTTTCTTTTTAGTTACTACCGTTGTCAATGTTATGATCTGGTTTCAATTTTTTGAAATTTCGTTTCAGTTACTCCCGTTCTTCCATGTTATGCTCTGGTTTTATTTTTTGAAATTTCGTTTCAGTTGCCGCAGTTCCTCCATGCGATGATCTGGTTTAATTTTTTGAAATTTCGTTTTTGTTACTCCCGTTCTTCCATGTTATATTCTGGTTTCATTTTTTGAAATTTCGTTTCAGTTACTCCCGTTCTTCCATGTTATGCTCTGGTTTTATTTTTTGAAATTTCGTTTCAGTTGCCGCAGTTCCTCCATGTTATGATCTGGTTTCATTTTTTGAAATTTCGTTTCAGTTGCCGCAGTTCCTCCATGTTATGATCTGGTTTCATTTTTTGAAATTTCGTTTCAGTTGCCGCAGTTCCTCCATGCGATGATCTAGATTCATTATACTTCACGCTCCCAGATACAGATCCATCCGGTCTACCAAATGATATCATGGATAAATGCTGTGCGTTTGCACAATGCTGGTCAAACAGGTATGCTAAACGCTGCAAATAAAGATAAATAAAGATGTGAACCATGTCCTAGGACGTTTTTAAGAATGTAGTACGCAATTATGCAATTCTCAAATTTGACTTGAAAAAGGTACTTGACATTGACCTGCTTCAATTAATGACTGCGTTGGTGATTATAATCAGATGGTAATTGTTAAATATTAATTTGACCAAAATAGTAATATTAATGTATCAAAAGACTGGATATGACCTTGTACCATGTATGCTAACATCAATTGTACCTGTATTTTATTGTTGTCAAAATAGTAATATTTATATATCAAATGACAGTATATGAACTTGCATTGTTCCATGCATGTTTGTTATTATTACAAGTATTATTATTAGTAATATAGTAATTCTGTTGATAGATAAGATAAGACTGAATATGACCTTATAGCATTCATGCTATGATCAATTTTATGTAATTGTTGTCAAAATAGTTTTTATTTTAATACAAAGTAAGACCGAAAACCATGCATGCCAACATCAATTTTATGTTATTGTTGCCAAAATAGTAATTCTATTGATGTATAATAGGACTGGGTATGACCTTGTACCATGCATGCCCCCTAGCGTATGGAACGCGGAAGCTAAAGCTTGTGATATACGTGCTAATGTTATGGAGTGTATGGACATCAACTGCGGAAGTGCGTACTATTTCAATATGCATACTAGTATATCTATTAGTTACATAAATTCTCATTTGTCACTTATTTTGACTTCACATATGTCGTCACTTTAAAATGAAGTTTCTACATTTTGATAAATATATCTTAATCATCCCATTCGGATTGCTTTCCATAAGTAGAATCGCTTATTGGTTGACTTTAAATGATCATTTGTAAAAGTCGTTGTCTAAAATATTTCCAATGACAAAATCGATTAAAACTGTAAAATCATGAAAAATATCCAGAGTCAGTGAGCTGGTTTGATTAATTTGATTAATGTCTATTATCGCATATTATTTCCAGTTGAAATGACTGACCCACCATGTCCTGGTCCTGAAGAACTTGAAGAAGGTAGGATTGGTTTTATCAATCAAGTTCATCATACTATTAACATGAGTTGACTTTGGATTGAGTTTTACTTACTGGGGTTGAGTTTTCCAGGGGTTGCGTTGACTTGGGTTTGAGCTTTACTCAGATTGAGTTTTACTGGGTTGAGTTGACTTGGGTTTGAGCTTTACTCAGATCAAGTTTTACTGGGTTGAGTTGACTTGGGGTTGAGCTTTACTCAGGTTGAGTTTTACTGGGTTGAGTTGACTTGGGGTTGAGCTTTACTCAGGTTGAGTTTTACTGGGTTGAGTTGACTTGGCGTTGACCTTTACTCAGGTTGAGTTTTACTGGGTTGAGTTGAGTTGACTTGGGGTTGAGCTTTACTCAGGTTGAGTTTTACTGGGTTGAGTTGACTTGGGTTGAGCTTTACTTAGCTTGAGTTTTACTGGGTTGAGTTGACTTGGGGTTGAAATGACCAAGAAGCGGCTTTTATGGACCTGCATTCCATTCTCAGTTCTAATCTAGTTTATGGTAAATATTGTTAAAAATTTCAGTTGTCGTTTTTGGAGATTTTAACACACAAACACCGCAATAGATTTGATATTTCTTTTCAGGTCAGTGTTGTATGGCCGGCCAGGTATACTCTACTTTTGAGGATAAGACAATGTACATGAGAGAACCAGGGCCTCTGGCTTTAGGATTACTCAAAATCCAATGTTGTCCAGAGTAAGTGAAATATTTTAACTGGTATATTCAAGGGTAAATTAAAAAGATCAACTATGTTATTGGGTGCCGTAACCACGAGGTTGCGAGTTCGAGACGTGTGTGCCCCTTGTGTTTATTCATTTATGTTTTGAAGTGAATACTTAACAATAGGCCTTAATGTGTTTTGAGGTGTTGACGACATCTGTTATTGTAAAAATAGTTATTTTTAACTTTTTTGTCGGCATGATATCTAAATTTCTCTCGGCGCATTAAAACTAGGCGTCACGGAGCAACTCCACAAGAAGTTTCAGATGACTAGATCAACTAGATGCACTTTTATGCAAAATAATTTATACTTTTGATATTAAGGGGGGGGGGAGAACATATTTATATGACACCCTGTGGATGTATGTCACCGGGGTATCTCCCATGGCCAACGATCACACGAATATACTTTGTAAACCCGCATAATAAACAAATACTGGATGATCAGGAGCTGGATATGGCAGAATACATATTCGAGAAAAAATATTGGGCGAGGCGGCAGCCGAGCCCAATATTTTTTCGAGGATAGGTATTCTGGCCATATCCAGCTCCTGATCATCCAGTATTTGTTTTATTATGCACCTCCCAATCAAAGTTAAGTGGAGTACTTACGGTTTAGTTGACATTATTTTGACATTTATTTATTTTTTCTTTCAAAACTCACACGACTTCCGGCCAGTTTATTCGCTACACTGGACGAAAATATTTGCCCCGGGAATCTAATTTTTATTTATTCGAGACGTTCTTGCAGAATTATATGTAACTTTTGAATGATAAGGGTAATTGTGATTGATTAAGTGCATTTTTTCTTCTATTTTCCGCCAGTTTCAGATGTAAGCTTTAAGTAGTACTCCAGTTATTAAGAAATAAAACTCTGAAGTGGGAATGTTGCAAAAAAATAGAAAAAAATATCCGACCCTTTTTCTCGAAAGGGTCAGATATTAAAAAAATATCCGGCAGTTTTCAGAAAAGAGCAGAGTATTGCCAAATTACAAGCAACTAAGAACCAATCAGATTTGAGTATTTTAATGAGGTGCATAATAATATGAAATACCAAGGCCCATAAATATGTTTATATTACTTATTACAGAGTTGATGGTGTTCAGATGGTTTTCGACCCAACCGACTGTTGCTGTGAAGTACCAGATGTGGACAACATGGATGTCCCATAGTAGGCCTATTTTGAGCAACTCATGTCTGAGTTAGTGTAGAAAATAAAATCTTCACAAAGTTAACATGTATATTGTTTAGTAATGTTGATTCACATATTGATGAAAACTAAATACCGGTACCGGTAAATGAGATTGATCATCGAGGTACATTGTTCAGTAATTCACATATTTCTAAGAAATTAAATACCAGTAAATGAGACTGATCACTCGATGAAAAAGTTCGTCCGTCCGTTCTTCCGTCCGGGCGATAACTCAAATATAGGTGGGCGGATTTGATTCAAATGTTATAGATCTATGCCTTGTGATTGTAGGACCTCTGCGCGGGATGATATTTTCAATATGGCCGCTCAATTAAAAATGGCTGCGTAAAAATGTAATCTTTGATGACACAAATATTAGGTGACGGACTTGGCTCAAACATATGCTGAAAAATGTAATCTTAAATAATTCAAGTACCAGTAGATAGGGACACACGGGCTCTGTTCGAAAAGGATTTCTAAGATGGTAGCCAAAGAGGATTGGCTCCCAGGTTCGCATTTCAATATTTTCCAACAATGAAAACGTCGAAATGTCGTTATTTTCTGTTTTAAGTGCTATAAATTCAAAATAAACAGTCCAAAAGATTTGAACCAATATCTCGATCATTTCATAATTCACGATTCAAATGTTGAAGCAAGCAAAATGGCAGCTGCTTGGATTCGAATTTTGTAGTAACGACATATCCAAAACTGGGAAAAATATTGATGTTGCACTCTAGCAGCCAATCCTCATTGGATAGCAACTGGATTTCAAAATGGCCGCCATGTTTCGTAAATTAACGTATATTCTCCGATAACTCAAATACCAGTTGACGGATTTGGTTCAAAATTAATCTTAGATAACATAAATATAAGTTGATGGACTTGGCTCAAAGTTCATATGCTTATGCCTTGGAACAAAGCAGTTTTGCTCAAGAAGATATTTCAAAGATGGCTGTCGAATTTCAAAATCGCCATCATTTTTCGTGAAAAATGCAATCTTAAATGATTCAAATATCAGTAGATTGATTTGGTTCAAAGTTTATATGCCGATTGCTAGGGACCCACGGGCAATCAGTAGATTGATTTGATTAAAAGTTTATATACCATTTCCCAGGTTCGCAACTCAATATTTTCCAACAATGAAAACGTCAAAATGCCGTTATTTTCTGAAATTATTACGTGCGATAAATTCAAAATAAATAGTCCAAAAGATTCCAACCGATATCTAATCATTTCTTATGAGTTTTGGAATTTTCGTTTGGAAATAAGACCAAAATTCACGATTCAAATGTTGAAGTTAGCAAAATGGCGTTTGTTTGGATTCGACTAGGGAATTTCAGCAATTGAGAATATACTAGTTTATGATCCACTACTTTGACAGAAAGATTGACATACTAATTTAATTCGTAATTTATGCTCAATTCGTCAACTTCAGATTCGTTCAATCTACACTACGGAGCTTTGATCAAGCAAATAACAGTTAACCACCAGAAGTTGAATAAATTTACGGAAAGCGAAAGGGGATATACCGCAGAATCTAAAATTCAATGGAGTTTTAACATGGGAGTGATATCACACACCGCGGCCCAGTCAGATATATTTCTGAGCACTTTATTTATTTAATTCACTTTGCACAACGCGCCCCCTGTAATTCATTCAGTGCGCAATTAAAATTGTTTATGAGTGATATCGCACACCGCGGCCCAGTAAGATCGATTTCTGCGCACTTTATTTATTAACACACTCAAAATATCGCGCTGAAGCTTGTATATGCTGGCGCGATGTAATTATAGTTTTCTGTTAATAAATGCCCAACAAGAAAGGGTAGCACAACGAATTCAACTTTTTTCGAAAGACTGCAGACTTGACCTGCGAAATTGTAATTTTGGATCACAGTGATGCCTCTAGAGAGGATATCTATGAGAATTACAGATTATAGTGCGCAGAATTATAAAGTCAAACTGACCTCAAAATGGTAGTACACAGTGTACACTGCCATCTTTCAATAAAGTAACTACAGACCTTCGTAAACAAAATACCAGAATGATTGATGTAATACCTGTATACCATTTCTTCTGGGAGAAGGAAAGTTCCTATATGTATTCCATGGTCGTAGCCAGGGGGCCTCACCCCCCTCCCCCTTGCCAAATATTCGTTCAAAATCATGCAGTTTTTCACCATTCTTAGCACTTTTCGCATGATTTTTTTGCCATAACTGTCAAAAAGCTCCCCCCTCTTGGCAAAATCTCCCCCTTGGTAAAACCACTCCCCCAGGTTAATCCAGGATACGGGTCTGTATTCTTAGACGAGATTGTTCAAGAACATAAGGTAGACATAAGTGCCACCTGTTAAAAGCTAGATCTTTTCTAAGTTATTAAGTCATCAATCAGCAGACTGGTAGTTGTATCCCCCACCCACTTCAAACTCCATACACTAACATACTATTACAATTTTATCTGTGTTTATTTGACTGTAGAAGGTGTACATTCATAGCATTGAATTGCATTTCATTGCATTGTATTGTATTGTATAGCACATCATTGTATTGTATTGTACTGCATTTTATTGTATTGCACTGCATTGTATTGTATTGCACTGCATTGTATTCTATTGCATTATATTGTACTGTATTGCACTGTATTATATTATATTGCACTGCATTGTACTTTATTGCACTGCATTGTATTGTACTGCAGTGTACTACATTGTATTGCGCTGCATTGTATTGTATTGCACTGCATTATAATGTATTGCACTGTACCACATTGTGTTGCACTGCATTGTATTACACTGCATTGTTTTGAATTGCACTGCAATATATTGCACTGCACCATATTGTATTGCATTGCATTGCAGTGCACTGCATTGTATTATATTGCACTGTATTGTATTGCACAGTATTGTATTGCATTGTCTTGAATTACACTGCATTTTATTACACTGCATTGTATTTTATTGCAGTGTAATGTATTGTATTGCTCAGCATTGTATTGTATTGCACTGTGTTGTATTGCATTGTATTGAATTGCACTGTATTGTATTTTATTGCACTGCATTGCACTACATTGTATTGCACTGTATTGAACTGCGATGTATTGTATTGCACTGTATTGTATTGCACTGCACTGAACTGCGATGTATTGTATTGCCACTGTATTGTATTGCACTGCACTGTATTGAACTGCGATGTATTGTATTGCACTGCATTGTATTGCACTGTACCACATTGTATTGCACTGCATTGTATTGAAATGAACTACATTGTATTGCACTGCACGGCATTGTTTTGCACTGTATTGCATTGCACTGCATTGTATTGCATTATATTGCACTGTATTGTATTGCATCGTATTGCACTGCATTTTATTGTTTTATATTGCACTACATTGTATTGTATCATATTGCACTGCATTTTTTGCATCATATAACACTGCTTTGTATTGCATCATATTACACTACATTGTATTGCATCATATTGTACTGCATTGTATTGCATCATATTGCTCTGCATTGTATTGCATCATATTGCACCGCATTGTATTACATCATATTGCACCACATTGTATTGCATCATATTGCACTGCATTGTATAACATCATATTGCACTGCATTGTATTGCATCATATTTCGTATTTACCATTTCGTTACAGTTTTATTACATAAAATGTTATTTATAAGATTATAATTTTCAAACATTGAAAATATTTTATACAATATCAATTAAAAGATATGAAATGGCCCAAAATAATATATTTTCAATGGAACCCTTTGCAAGGGTCACTTCAACATAACGCCACGTGTAATCTGTATGCATACGCCCTCTTTTAATGAACATTATCTTTGAAACCATATTAGAATCGAATCTGATAAAAAAAAGTGCGCATCATGGTCCTGGATGTGCTGCGCGCTAGAATCGGGAAATCTCAAAGTTCTCCTCGTTGGAGTCATAAATATTATCCAAAATTGTCATTTCGCTGGTTCACTCCGCAGTCTTTCGAAAAAAATCAAATTCGTGGTGCCACGAATTTTTATTCGTTATTTATTCACAGATAATCATTTTTTCATCGCGCACTGAATGAATACATTTCTGCGCACTTTATTTTAATTAACTTTGCACAACGCGGCCCCTGTAATTCATTCAGTGCGCGATGAAATCTATCTGACTGGGCCGCGGTGTGTGATATCACTCCCATGTTAAAACTCCATTCGATTTTGAATTATGCGCAGGTCCCCTATAGCTTTCCGTAATAAATTAGATCTTTGCCCAGGGTTCTGTTTTTCGAATGGTACATTATATGCCACCATGATACGTAAGAGAAACGAGTGAAACAATAACGGCGATCGTGGGATCTTCATTAGCCGCCATTTGGCGTTTGGTTTATACACCGTGACGTTGATGAGAGAAAAAATTATGGTCAGTTTCAACTACTCTTCCTTAATAATAAATGCCACAGCTGGAACATCGAAGAAGGAGAAGTAATTGACTCCTAAGTCAAACGTTCTTTCATTTTATTACCAGATGTATGCATATTATGCGACTTTATTGTATCGTTCTGATGCACCATTCAAAGGTTAATAAGTTAAAAGAAAAGCCACTTCCTTTGTGGCGGTTAAGATGATTCTAGCTTTTTCTCGGGAGTCATAAACGTACATTTTCTGATTAATTTGGACATGGTATCACTTAATTTGCATTTAGGATTTATATAACTAATGACTCTGGTCATAGGTTACGGTTATCATGAGATGCAATTATTGAACTCATCAGCTTTCACGGGATATATTGTTCTTAATATACATTTACTTCTCAATAGTTGCCCAAATCTTTAGTCTCTTTCGTAAGTTCCGGAACCTTTGATTGTATCATTTTATTCTGAATTATGACCAAAGATCAAGATACTTCTATACCGGTTCATATTTATGTTT